AGATACTGTGAGTTAGAGATGGGTGTTAGAGATCTTCTCGTTGATCTGTGAGTGTCTGGGAGACACTGTGAGTCCGATGTTGGTTTTAGAGATCTTTCCACAGATCTGTGAGTGTCTGGGAGACACTGTGAGTGAGATATGTGTGAAAGAGATCTTCTCATTGATCTGTGAATATCTGTGAGATACTGTGAGGTAGACATGGGTGTTAGAAACGTTCTCGTTGATCTGTGAGTGTCTGGGAGACACTGTGAGTGAGATGTGGGTGTTAGAGATCTTCTCATTGATCTGTGAACATCTGTGAGACAATGAGAGTTAGAGATGGGTGTTAGAGAACTTCTCATTGATCTGTGAGTGTCTGTGCAACACTGTGAGTGACATGTGGGTGTTAGAGATCTTCTCATTGATCTGTGAACCTCTGTGAGACACTGTGAGTTAGAGATGGGTTTTAGAGATCTTGTCGTTGATCTGTGAGTGTCTGGGAGACACTTTGAGTGATATGTGGGTCTCAGAGTTCTCTCCATAGATCTGTGGAGATCTCCATAGTTCTCTCCATTGTCTGTGAAACACTGTGAGTGAGATGCGTGTTAGATCTTCTCATTGGTTTGTGAGAGTTTTTCACACCCTGTGAGTGAGATGTGAGTGTTAGAAATGTGCTCACTGATCTATGAGTGTCTGTGATACACTTTGAGTGACACAGGGAGGGTTAGAGACCTTCTGACTAATCTGTGTATATGTGGAAGACATGTGAGTTAGACAGTGAGTGTGAGATATTTTCTCATGATCTGTGACTGTCTTTGAGACCCTATGAGTGAGACAGTGAGTGTGACAGACCTTCTGATTGATCTGTGAGTGTCTGTGAGACAGCCTGAGTGATTTGTGGTTGTTGGAGGTTTTCTCATTGATCTGTGAGTGTCAGGGAGACCCAGTGAGTGACTTGTGGTTGTGGGAGATCTTCTCATTGAGCTGTGAGTGTATGTGACAAACTGTGAGTGAGTTGTGCATTTTAGAGGCCTTCTCATTGATCTTTGAGTGTCTGGGAGACATTGTGAGTGCGATATCGGTTTCAGAGATCTTTCCATAGCTCTGTGAGTGTCTGTGAAACACTGTGAATGAGAAGTTGGTGTTAGATATCTTCTCATTGATCTGTGAATATCGGTGAAAGGTTGTTAGTGACACAGTCGGTGTTAGAGAAGATCTCAATGATCGGGGAGTATCTGTGAGACACTGTGAGTGAGATGTGAGTGTTAGCGATCTTCTCATTGATTTGTGAGAGTCTGTGACACCATGTGAATGAGAAGTGGGTGTTAGAGGTCTTCTTATTGATCTGTGAGTGTCTGCGAGACACTGTGAGTGTTCTCTGAGTGTTAAAGTTCTTCTCATTGGTCTTTGAATGTCTGTGATACGCTGTGAGTGAGTTGTGAGTGTTTGAGATATGCTCATTGATCAGTGAGAGTCAGTGAGAAACTGTGAGTGAGAGATGGATGTTAGAGGTCTTCTTGTTGATCTGTGAGGGTCTGTGAGACACATTGAGTAAGATGCATGTGTGAGATCTTCCCATTCGTTTGTGAGAGTTTTTCACACCCTGTGAGTGAATGTGGGTGTTAGACGTCTGCTCATTGATCTGTTAGTGTCTGTGAGACACTGTGAGTTAGAGATGGGTGTTAGAGATCTTCTCATTGATCTGTGAGTGTCTGGGAGACACTGTGAGTGCGATGTGGGTTTCAGAGATCTTTCCACAGATCT